CCAAAAAATCCGAAAAAAATGTTTAAAAAACTATGTTGTGCAAAAAACTAAACTGAACAAAGTTTGCCTCAGGGTCACATCGAAATTCTTCATCAAATGTAGAATAAAATTGGCCCGGCTGGGCAAGTGACCCCGGGTCACTCTGGTAGCCTAGCTCATTGTTCCATCAAAAAAAAAAAAAAAAAAAAAAAAAGAAGCTCCTGAAAAAAAAAAGATTAAAAAAAAGCTCCACAATGACGTTTTGTTTCACAATAACAGGAGTTCAATCTAAAATATTAATGCAGCCCTGGCCGAAATTGCGGTCAGATACATGGCCGCAGAAGTCCCAGTGTGAATTCAGCGGCGGCGCTGACGTCCAGATATGAATTCAAAAAATTCCCAGTACCAAATAGAACGCATGTCGGCCGTTATCGATGTATTTGAGGGAACTTTCAGTCTACATACAACAATAATAATGACTGGGGGTGTACGCCCTGAAAAAAACTCTAACGAAGGGGGTCACTCCACTACTCACCAAATGTGCAAACTGAGAATGAATCTTCCGCAAGAACATGAAAAGATACATCGGGATATTTTTTCTCTTTTGTGCATGTGTCGAGTTACTGTAGTGGATCGAGGCCCAAATTGTTTGCAATTCGTTAACAGCTGTTTTTTTTTTTGTTTCTTCAGAAAAAAAAAAAAAAACTTTTGACGAATGACAAATTCTGCTTCCTACCACATGTCACTCCCCACCAATACACTGGAGCCACCTCCTTGAGTAAATAAATAAATAAATTCAAATAAATTAATAAATTAATAAATAAATAAATTAATTAATAAATTAATAAGTAATTTAACAAACCGATGAATAATAATTTAATATGAATGGAAAAGACAGAACAAGAAATTACAATTTACGTATTTGGCCCTACAAATGTCACCGTTTTAGCTCCTGAAGATGCGTCTGGACTTGGCTGAAGCCCAAATATATCCAAGGGGGTCTTGCGTTTTCCGATGGTGAACATTCTTAGGGTCAAATGAGTAGGTTTTAGTTTCGTTCAAAAAATATAAAATGTTCGTTTTATAGAACTGGTCGATTCTATGTACACTTGTTTTTCATAATTATACCGTTTATACGTGTACTAGTGGGTAATGGCTGCTGCTAGTCGTAACTGTGCTTTCTCGACGTCTCACTTTCGGTTTTGGAACTCGAACTTGCTGGTTGTTCAGATAACCATTCATGTTGATAAGGACACAAGGACAACACAAGGATTTTCATTTTCCTTGTGTTTAGGGTTTACAGTTAAACCACCAGTACTTGGGCACTGCGCGCCGCGCCGGCCGCACCTTTTTTGAAGCGGCGCGGGCTGTTGATACGATTTATCGACGGCCCGCCGGTAGCGAAATTCTCGTAGCGTTAACGCTAAGGCGTCGCCCAAGTACTGGTGGTTTAAGGGTTGAAGGCTTAGGTTTTAGGGTCTGTATAGGATTTAGCATGATTTAGGCCCTGGGTTGGGTTCAGGGTATGGGTTTAGGGTTTAGGGCTCATGTTGTAGGCATTAGGTTTTTTTTTTTTTTTTTTTTTGCGTTTCTGGTTTAAATTTGGGCTAAGGGTTCAGGGTTTAGGGTTTAGGATTTCGGCTTTATGGTTTAGGGTTTAGGGTTTAGGGTTCAGGGTTTAGGGTTCGTTGGGTTTAGGATTTAGGGTTTAAGGTTTAGTGCTCATTTTTTAGGCTTAAGGGTGTACAGTTTCGGCTTTACCATTTCGGTTTTTCGGTTTAGGGTTTAGGGATTAGGGTTTTCGTCGTGCACTCTGGAAACTTCTCCTCCTTCCTTCCTTACCCCCGAGCCCCCCCTTTAAGCCTGGGGAGGAATTAACCTTTCCGCCACCGAGAAGTTATGACGTTATGAAATCGACCAGCAGCAAGTAGACGAAGTAACAAACCTGTCATTCTCAGTTGATGGCATAGCTCCAGATCTTGTGCGCTTGGGGGGACTTGTTATCTCCAGATTTCCCATTGAAACCTTCACCTCCTTCGAGCGCAGGTTGCGATATGCTAATACGAACATGTCTGGCGACAATCCAGCAAGGGCAAATCCGTCGAGTCCACTACCTCCTATCTGCTTCAGATAGGTGAACTCATTGTAGTACACACACATACACACACACACACATGCAAGTGAACATGAAAAGTGCGTCAAAGAGGCCCGATAAGGATAAGTATTTAGTGTGAGATGATGATGGACGCATTCATGCCACTTCAATTGCAGGCCCGGAATTTTCCCCGGAATATGAAGCTAGTGGTAAATGGTATGGTTCTTTCCCATTTCATGGATTCCAAACTTTTTTTTTTTTTTTTTTTTTTTTTTT